TTCTCTCTCTCTCTGTCTGTCTGTCTGTCTTTCTGTCTGTCTGTCTGTCTGTTTGTCTGTCTGTTTGTCTATCTGTCTGTCTGTCTCTCTCTCTCCATCTCTCTCTCCCCCCCCTCTCTCTCTCTCCCCATCTCTCTTTCTCTCTCCGACACTTTGTGACATCACTTTTTACTTCCGCCTTCCACCCGGCGGCAAACATTCCCGCGGACTCCAGACGTTGTAATTATTTGTGCACAACATTGGTGGCTAATCTAAGCATTTCGGATCGCCAATTTAGATTTGGCGGGAGAAAATCCCCTCCTCATTAAAGCCGGGCAGTGTTGTACTGTCAACATAACGTCGATTCATTCGCCGCCATTTGCTACTGACGTTCCCAGACGAGATTATTGATTATGATAACCGCTTTTTTTCTGGGTTTTTTTTTTCATTTATATATCACAACGTGGTGGAATCAGGTGCTCGTAAATTTTTGGGCATTATATTTACTTGGATTTACTTGGATTTACTTGGATCCAGAGCTAGAATCATAGCAGGCGGCACATGTCCATAGCTGCTCATCTCTCCTTTCCAGTGTCCACATCAGGGTCTTCCTGCTATGGGCATTATATATGGTCGCTTTTAAGCACAAAGGGGCTATTCCACCCAAAAATGCAGTTTTGAGAATATCGGAGGGAAAGTTTTTGCCCCTTATTCAATTTCTTTAAAAGACAAGGAGAGTTCCCACAACCCAACACATATACACACCAATGAAACCAAACTTCTCCTATAGGTATGGCAATGCCCACTTTTGGTGTAGATCATGATTTCTGGAAACCTCCTAATCTGGGTTAGCCCGTTTGTCCTTAAAAACAACCACATAGAGTTTTTTCATGTCTTAAGCTTATTCATTTGTCTTGCATTTGTCGAGAAAAATACCCATCTATCTTGAATAGTAGTCAAGATATTTGTGATTGAAGGAGGTGGGGGTCGCAGCCTGTTCTGACAGGTAAAATTAGCGAGAAAATGACTGCCAAAGTTTGCTTACGTTCAACACTTGAGTGTCGGGAAACGGAAAATTTTACTTTTTGTTTCTGTCTTTAATCAACGTTTTTCGATACCTCCACACAGAAATGTGTTTTTAATTGTTTTAATGGACGTAAAAAGTGTTGAGCCAATTTTTTTTTTAATCGAAAAAAATTCTCTTACAGCCTGAAAAATGCTGATTTCTTTGGTTTCATCATTTTGACGAGCGCCTGATTTCACCACGAAGCCTCACAATTTATTTTTCTAAACCAAAGAGTTCGGTTTGTGTCGTTATTCGGAAGCTGGAAATGTCAACTGACGCGAGTGTATGGCTGCTGGGTGTTGAATGGTGTTTCCCTGAAACTTGTTGCAAACTTGGCTTGTTGAAGGAAGAGAGACAGGCAGACAGACAGACAGACAGACAGACAGACAGATGTAGAAGTGAGGAGATAATTTTTCTTGTCCTGTGGAGGTTACTGCCCTATCGGCCGCCATATTGCATTGGTGTGAATGCCGGAAATACGTCATCAACTTTCTGAGGAGGGCTTTTCCACAGTAGCTGACGTGACAGAAAAAACAACCTCATTAATCGTCCTGTCAGTTACCGAAACTAGAGACGTCACAGAATTTGTGTAAAGTATTTTTTTTTAATGACTGCATTTGATTCTTGATATGTGTTTCAAATGTTCTTCTCATTTAACGTTGAAGTAAATTAGTTACTGATATTGAATTACACTGTGAGTGTGGGTGGTTGGTGGCTGCTCTGGTGTGGTTTGCTCCTTCTTTCCTATCAAACATCTATCGTCCTGATCTCTCCTCCTTCTTTTCTGTGTTCATTACTCGCTTGTAACACCTCTAATATTCGGTACTTATATGACCTGATTGTGTTGCAAGTGCCGTAAAACTCTTACTAAAACTAGAACTAAATTACAGAGTTATCTGTGTAAGAAAGTATAGTCCAAATGCCCCGTCACTTACCGTAGAATAGCCCTGGGCGGAGCTCATTTCCACACACTTCTCATAATGTAAGGATTGATCATCAATACGGACGGTTTCTCTCTCTCTCTCTCTCTCTCTCTCTCTCTCTCTCCCTCTCTCTCTCTCTCTTTCTCTCTCTCACTCTCTCTCTCTCTCTCTTTTAAAAAAAAATTTTTTTCTCTCTCTTTCTCTTTCTCTCTCTCTCATTCTCTCTCTCTCTCTTCTTCCTTCCCT